CATCACCTATTGTCATAAAAATAGACATAATGTTAAAACTTTGGTCTAACCTGAAGCTTCAGCTTTTCAAATATTTCATAATGACTGAAGAATATTATGAATATCCAAATTATATGGATTTACATATACGTTGTTCTAGACTGGCTTTTAGTCTGTGCAAAAACATAGTAAGTAACTGTATTTATTATTCTTAGAACTACTATGAGGTTAGATCTCTGCCACAATTCTGCGCGCGAAAGATCATATTTTGAGCACACAAAAGTGCATTTTGCACGCGCACAATCTGAGTTTTGTGGAGAAAATGTTCATCTCGCAAAGAAAAAAGTATTTTGAGTGCACTAAAATCAATTTTGCATTTAAAATAGCCTAAGTTTTTGGATTTGTGCAGACCTTCTCTTCAGTGGTACAAGAGGATGTGGTGCTGGTCCTTCAAGAGTCACTCTCAACTTATCTGTCTATAAAGCCTATATTTAAAAAAATCAGTCTTCAAGTATTTTACTACACTTCAGTATGTGATTCTTGGGTCAGTTTTTAGGATTCTATACTTAACCTAAGTCTCTGAGAACCTGACACCTAGTACTTCTGGAGACTCCAGGTAGGTTACAGTTCTGGAAAATGGTGGCGCTGGAGACTAATGGTGCTTTTCCCCTGCATGGTATGGTTCGGTGCGGTTCACTTTTGTTTTTTTTTTCACTGGGTACAGTACTTGGTACCTGGTACTTTTTTTAGTATTGAATGAGTGCACCTTTTTTTAACAACCAAAAAATGGCTGTTTCGTGGTCTGTTGAGGAAGTACCGACGTTCCTCTCGTTGATAGCAGAGGAGTGGATCCAGCGAGAGCTTGATGGGGCAACGCGGAATGACATTTTTTTTTCCCACCCACTCTAAAGCGGTACTAAGCTGCAGTGGAAACGATGGGTTGTGTTGAGCAAGCGAGCCGTTGGCATTTAGAGAGCACTGAGGGTGGGCATCAGGTGAGCAAGCTAGTGAAAGGTTGCACGCGCAAAAGAGAAGGTCTGCACAAATCCAAAAACTTAGGCTATTTTAAATGCAAAATTGATTTTCGTGCGCTCGAAATACTTTCTTCTTTGTGAATTTGAAACTTTCAGAATTGTGGCAGAGATCTAATCCCATATAGAACTTGCTTTTTTTGTGTGTGTGTGTCATCAGATTCCACACCAATATTGAAACTACTAGTTAGGCATAGCTTACTATATTGTTTTCATCAAAAGGAAGTGAATGCGTTAAGAACAAAAACAAGAGATTAACAATTGCAATTTGTTACTGTAAACTATAAGCGCAGTTAGCACATGTACATCTGCAAGATGTCTGTTAAACATTGCTTCATCTGGAAAGCATCTGCTGTGTACAAACATCTGATAGACGTCTGTAAGATATCAGTTACATTCTAAATCATAAACATCTTAAAGACATTTTCTAAATGACATCTAATAGGAAACGTCCTATAGACATATCGCAGATGATACGTGAAAACACTCTAAAAATACGTCTTGCAGATGTAAATACAGATGTCAAATAGACGTCGCTGTGATATAAGTGTGCTAGCAGGGAGAGCCCTAATTTATTATAACAAGTATTTCATGATTTATTGGTAATGTACGTCGTTTTTAATGTAGGCCTACCACAAATTCTTTCATCATTGTGTCAGAGCCTGTGAGAATCCATGCAGTTTGTTCAAATCCGGTTTTGTAATTTGCATTGCCTAGTTCATCCAGAAATGAAACTTCTGTCATCGTTCTTCAAACCCCGTATGACTTTCTTTCTTCTGTCGAACCAAAAGTAGATGCCAGTCATCATTCAATCCGTCGTAGGCTATGTAAACAAGGTGAATGTCATTCCTTAAAAATCTGCCTTTTGTGTTGAAGAAAGAAAGTCGTACGGGCTAATGACATGAGGGTGTGAACATGCTCCTTTCTGGGTTAATTCTCACTAAACAATTGACTCGGTTATGTCTCATGTCTACCTTTAGCAGTTTCATGTGGTTTTAATCACCTCGTTGACGCAATATCGATCTGTTCTCCCATGACAACCCCTTGGGGGGAAATCAAAGTGCTTCATTAGAACAAGAAACCGCTAACTCTTTGTAAGTATAGGCTACATACGATCGAATTTGGAGTCTTGAGTAACATTTAAAAATGCAATCGAAAGAAAAGTAAGAAAACAAGTCAATTTTGATTGCCTATAGTTTTTAAATAAGTAAACTACTTCTACTTGACTTTACTGTAAATGGAGAATGTTTTGCACATTAATGTAGTATATCATATACATTTATTTACATCAAACGTTATTATTGGCGTATTTCCAGTTTCAAGCGTGTAAACAAATAGATATATAGCCTAACTAAGCTACACAGTGAAATTTACGAAGTTATGCCGTTACATCGACGTCGATCATCCGCGCGAACAAAGGAAGTGAAATCTGGAGTTTTTATGATAACTGATCAAATGTTAATTCCGCTTCGAAAGAGGACAAACTTAACAAAGGTATGACATAAATCCAAGAAAAAGACAGTGCTGCCCAGGGAAAAGTACCCAAGTGGACTAAATCTACTCGGTGTGCTGTGCTGACATCTCACACGCTTACAAATCTATTTAAAACACAGCTCTAAATGCAGAAACAAATTCTCCAACGATGACAGCTTTTCGATATGAAAATATTATTTCCGTAAGGCAACAGCAATTATTTGTTTTCCCCAAAGGTAAGCATTTAGAAGTTATATTATATTTTTTTTATATCTATAAGCAAGATTCAGCAACCTGGAAAATTTGCGGCCAAGACAATCTCTGGCCTTACAACTCACCTCTTTCGCAAAAGCTATAGCAAGAATGCAAACTATCAAATAACAACTATTCAACATCTATTTTTCCTTATGAAGGTGTTATAGCATGTAGAAAAATAACTGAAAGGAGTTGAGCAGTTAGTTCACGCCATGTGGCATTGTTTCAGGTCCCTCCTACTTACTTTACTTGATTAGCCATATATGGTGTCTGACGTAAAGTGTGAGAGAATATACACAATAATCTTATCTATATTATTTTGATCGTTCTTGATGTATTATTTTACATCTGATAGCTATAGGAAAATGTTTTTGGATTTGTTAAACCTGGAAGACGTATTAAACCATAACAATTAGGCCTATGTGTTGTGGTTCAAGAGGTGGAACTTATTTGAATAAACACATTAAGAAATAAAAAAGAAATACTATGACTCATCTTGCAAGATCTTTAAAGGAATAATTGAACCAAAAATGAAAATTTGCTGAAAATTTACCTATACCCTCAGGCCATTCAAGACTTAGATTAGTTTGCTTCTTCATCAGAAAAGATTTGGGGAAATTTAGCATTCCAGCAAGTAGGCTAATACATTTTTTTTAAAACTTCAAACCATTACTTCCAGCTAAAATAAATTTTTTTAGCTGAGCTATTTCAGTAATCGTGCAATAGTGAAACCCCAAACACCTATAAGACAAGCGAAAACAGAAAAGTCATCTGTGTTATTGCAATGAATAATCTAGTTACCAGTAGTGAACAAAATGCTCTTTCATTTTTGAAGGTCTGTGCTTGCAGCCAGCATAAATGAAAGTTGGGTGCTTGCCAAGTTTAAAGTGAACTCGTTCCTGCTTATTTCATTTTTCATTCTGTCACATAGAGTTACATTTGTATTACAAAAATAATGATTGTGATTCTTCAGTTGGTTTGAAATTGTGCTTGTCTTTCTGCTGCATGATCTTTATTCCTTTAGGGGATGTCATCAGTTGCTGGAATCATTGACTGGAGAACTGCCTAAACAGACAAAAACATTTATGTACAATCAATATGAAAACTATACATATGAATGCAATGCCTTTGTCCAAGTCGTGTTTATTGCTGTTTTCTGGATTAAAAGAGAACATACATTATATTCCATGTGAATGTGGGTCTTGTAGGCTGTCACAAATTACTGTGTGTGTGTGTGTGGTGTGTGTGTGTGTGTGTTTGTGCTTGAGAGAGAGAGAGAGAGAGAGAGGACATGATGGTGGCATAACGGTTTCAGTGTGCTTTCACGCTCAGAATAACGTAGGGAATTGACTGAGGTCTCAGCCGTTTCCTTCTCTGAGGGGAACTTGTCTGGATCAGTAGATGGTTTTTCCTGCAAACCTCTACACGACTTCATTGACTATCTCTTGTATTATCAAAATCCTCAGTACCAGGGTCAGTTGAGAATTAATGGGTTATATTGATCATTTCTATTGATCAATTTGATCATTTCTTTTTACTGGTGATGGCAAGATGGTATTTGACTGGGATCAGTATGTTCATAATGTACCAAAAGAGCCATAGTGAACATAAAATCCAACTGGACTTGAAAATTAAATTAACAGCCAATGCTTTATTAGCCTACATAAAAAAAAAATTTGCTTCAGCGTTAAAAACATACATGCATTGAATTTAATTTCGTTTTTAAAATACTGTCAATATTAACTTGATCAGTCCTGGTCCTAATGAATTTTGATAAGTATGCCCATTTGCGCTATCTGGTGGCTAAACAAAAATACTGCCGAATAAAACAAAATGTCTAAGTTTAAAATGAGTATAAAATAAAAACAAAATTGATTTTAATTTGGAAAAAAAAAATCACATTTATATTTTGTTATACTATACAAAATTACAGTATATACTATATATTATCATGTATATAATTTTATTTCTATCTATCTATCTATCTATCTATCATAATACATCAAACAATTAAATAAACATTATACACATTTTTGAACTGTAAAAATCGTTAGTTGTGCCTGATGTCTACTTTTATTTACGCAGTTGACAGTTATTTTTTGATGTATAAAATTACATTGTAGTTTAGAAACAATTTCTCATTTTGTCTTGTGCAAAATCTGTGTACCTAGACCTAATTAAAGAAGACACTGAACAATTAAAACAAAATACCAAAATAAAGCCTTTATTGTAGGAACTGCTGCAAATGGTTACATAGTGCTGGCAGTATAGATTTACTCACAATGGGTATGAGAAGAGAACAAAATACGGAACATATAAAAAAAAAAATAAAAAAAAAGAAATATCACAGAATAATTTGGATGCAAATGCAGGCCTAATGTGTTTGCATGAAATAATGGTTCTTTGGACATGGGCTGATGCGTCATCTCGGTGTCACTTTCTCTTTTGGAAATCCCGTATGAGGGCGTCCAGCTGTTAAAGCCATTAAGTTAGTCAAGTTTTAGAGAAATATTCACAATATCCCGTCATGACTATTTAACTACGAGGCTATAAGCCAAAACAACACCTGTACCCACCAGTATTGTCTTCAAAATGTTTCTTCCATGGGGTCTCAGGAAGCTGCATTTCCCTGCGTCACAGAGTTTAATTTCTTCTGAAACCTGATTTTAAAATAAAATAGAAGGCAACATGATGGCTTAGAACATCAAAATAGGTCTTTCCATAAACAAAGGCTAATAAACATATAAAGACAGTAGCCTACGGTGCTACCACACAAACACAAAACCTCGTCAACGTTAAGACAAATGACGCTAAAATAATGCAATACACATAATTTATTAAACAGCATAATCAAATTATGATTAAAGTGGCAGTAAATACATTTATAATATTACAAACAATTTCTATTTCAAATAAATGCTGTTGTTTTGAAATTTTTTAGCATGTTTAAAAAAAATAATAAAATTAAGCAGCACAACCGTTTTCAACATTGATCTGATTGAGAAATGATTTTTAATTTTAATTTTAACGTAAATTACATGCATTTTCATTTTAAATCTAACCAAATTTCTTAAAATCTAATAACCAAACCAATTTACCAACCACATGGTTACAGTTAACCTTTTTTTATTTATTTATTTATTTTTTGTTAAACATAAACTTTTTTACATTGTGTTACATTGCAAAAAGACAGCCCTTTTCTGGCAGTATTGTTCTTTCTCACAGACTTAAATTTCTTTAGAAATATTCACACACCTCTGAAGGATCGTAAACGTCTATCTCTCTCTTTCCTCCAGGGTACCAGCCATGAGACCAGTGCTGAGAGCTGGCAAACTGGGCACTTAGAAACATCAACATCCCCATCACCACAAACAGCCTGCAGATGTGCACCATATCTGAGGGAAGAGAACAGCGATTGACGAGACAAATGGAGAGTAAGTGAGGGGCCAGTAACTACACTGACACGTTTAACTGTCAGTCAGGTCTAGGTTTACCAGCCTAACAATTTTAGGAACAATGTTTGACAGAAAAGTATGATGGCAATGATGTTTAAGAGACAATAAAGCACAACGGAGACTATAATGTCTAAAGACTTCTCTACGAATTACTGTCAATACATCAATAATAGCAAAATTTTCAAAGACAACCTAAAAGCAAATCTAAACATTGTTATTACCGTGTATCTATTGGCACGTCTTTTCCTGAAGGATCTTCTGTAGTAGTTCCACTTCCTCTACTGTGAAGTCCTGGTCTTGGTAATCCTGATATGGTCTCGTTTCCCTCAAGTGAACAGTTCAGTGAGCTTCTGAGCTCATTCTCTGGAATCTTCCTCCTCCTCTTCCTCACAATTTATGTCTCACACCAGATCTTCCCTCCGTCTAAACACACACACACACACACACTGACCTCCCCAGTCCTCAAACACTTTGCCCGGTCATTGCGTTTCCATTGGGAGGAGAGCATGTGAAAGATGAGCTCAATTCCAATTATCATCTCCAAACACTGTTGACCCCAACGGGACAGTGTCCTCTTTCTCCAACAAAACACTCGTGTAAATATACACATCACGAGTTACACCCAGACACATTTGGCAACTACGTCACACATGCGTAAATTTGACGCTATTCAGATTTTCAGCTTCAAAACAATGGTCAAGAATGTGCCAAAGTGCTAATTAAAGAAAAGAGAAAAAGTAAGCACTAAATAAGTGATTCTATTTATTTATTTAATCGTTATATAATTATTTATCTATAATTTTATTTAGACAGCAATTTCATTTAAAAGGAACTTATTAAAATAAAATAATATATATCTATTTACCTTTTTAAATGTAAATGTATTAATTTAATTACATTTTTCAAGAGTAAACTTTTTAAAGACAAGGCAACAAAAGAAAAGAGAATATAAACTAACTATACACGGTTGAAAAGTTAGACTTTTGGTTAAGACTTTAACAATTTTTTTTTTTAAAAGAAGTCTCTTATGCTCACCAAGACTGCATTTAGTTAATTAAAAATACAGTAAAAACTGTAATATTGTGAAATATTATTACAATTCAAAATAAGTATTTTCTATTTTAATATATTTTAAAATGTAACTTATTTGTGTGATGGCAAAGCTGAATTTTCACCAGCCATAAATTCAGTCTTCAGTGTCACATAATCTTTCATAAATCAGTCTAATATGCTGATTTCCTGCTCAATATATAAAAAAATAAAATAAAAAAAAATGAATTAGCACTCAATGTTGAAAAAAATGGTTGAATATTTGAAACAGCTGAATATTTTTGTGGAAAGCATGATATATTTCTTTCAGGACTTTTTGATTAATAGAAAGTTAAAAATAGCAGCATTTATTTGAAATAATAATGAACAGTTAAGTGTAGGCTTTTAAGAAATTCTACATTTTTCTACATTTATTATGCCACCAGCCATCTAAACTTGAACATTGTCGATATTTATCATACATGTATAGAATATTGTAATTTTTCCTTTTTTTAAACATGGCAACTCCAGTGACCCCAATATCACACATTCTTGATGAGCATGTCCTATTACAAAAGCAAATGTCTAGCTCATTTCCTCTAAGCTGTAAAAAGTGGCCAGTGTGACCTCACATCCATCGTTTGTGACCCCCTGACCCACATGAAACGCACACTGGCCCAGAGAGAAAAACACTGTGCAAACACTCCAGCCTGACTGTGGTCTTAATTACTCAGAAGTTCTCCCTCGGGGTGATCGGAGCAGAGAATGTGACGGACGGTGTACGACTGACTCATCACAGAGCTTCAAGTTCTGATTGAGTTCCTGTCAAATGGTATTTGGTACACGCACAGGGGTCTCCAGCGATAATCCTTTCACATCTCAGGTCTGACACCAGGTCTAAAGGGCCAGGAAGGATGGAAGACAAGGTGACGTGACTCTCTCTCTCAATTTCCCCTCAGGGATCAAGTCTCACCAAGAAAGAACACTCACCAAAGCTGCATTTGTTTAAAACACAGTCAAAACAGTAATATTGTAAAATATTATTACAATAAAATCTCAAGCACTTTTATTAGGTTTGAACAGTATCTTGTTTAGAAAGAAATCTTGTTTTGTTTTTGGCATTATATAATTATATATCATTTGCATCATATATATAATTATATATACATATATATTCAAATTTGAATAACAAAACACTAGAAAAAAAAAACAGACGTAAATTAAAAAATTAAGATTTTAAGACAATAATACCGAATTAAAAATGGGGGGGAAAATATCTAATACATTTCAAAATGGTCCCAGTACAGTTAATCCTCAATTTTCATGTTTTTTTTGGAGAGCAGAATCCTTTACTTTTCAGTCTTGTTCTCATTCTTTCTTTTGCTCATCCAAGCAGGTCCTTTCAATGTCACATTCAACAGAAGAATGAAGTGAGCCACCAGACACGTGGCTTCCCTTCTTGACCAGAATAACTAGATTGCTCTCCATACATTAAGAGCTTAGGTTTTGAGGGACTTGACCGGAAGTCTGGTGCTTCCTCCAGGATGGTTTTATATGGTATGTAAGCAAAGACGACAAAAAAAAAAGCTTGAAAAAAACACCAAAAACAGCAACCAACCAGTAACTATTTGGGTTCCATTACAGATTATCATATGCCATACAGGCCACAATGTCCCAATGGATTGGGAGAACATGGGGTACTAAAGAGCAGGCGGGAATATGCTTGAAGCTACAGGAACGTGATGAGGCACTTTCCCACCTATGAAGAAGGATCCTGCCTCTGAGAGGCTGCTATTGGCACAGTGTCTCATGTGGAAAGGGTTAGCAAATCACAACAGCCGACTCACACAATATTCAAGCAAATCCGTCAGCATTTCATGGAGCATCTTAAGATGAAGCCCACAGGAAGCTGTAATAGAAATCCGTAATTCATAATTCGGAACATCATGGATCAGAACCCAGAACCCTGTTAACATGGAATGACAGATGGGTGAGTGATTTTGAACGACACCTATTGGGTTTATTTAGGAGCTAAATCATACATTTCATAAAACTTACATTTCCTACAATGTCCCAATGGATTGGGAGAACATGGGGTACTAAAGAGCAGGCGGGAATATGCTTGAAGCTACAGGAACGTGATGAGGCACTTTCCCACCTATGAAGAAGGATCCTGCCTCTGAGAGGCTGCTATTGGCACAGTGTCTCATGTGGAAAGGGTTAGCAAATCACAACAGCCGACTCACACAATATTCAAGCAAATCCGTCAGCATTTCATGGAGCATCTTAAGATGAAGCCCACAGGAAGCTGTAATAGAAATCCGTAATTCATAATTCGGAACATCATGGATCAGAACCCAGAACCCTGTTAACATGGAATGACAGATGGGTGAGTGATTTTGAACGACACCTATTGGGTTTATTTAGGAGCTAAATCATACATTTCATAAAACTTACATTTCCTAACACAAGGCAGTGTGGAACGAGGGCTTAACCTACATAAATTATTCCCTGGAAAATAACTTGCTTTCCACTGACAATCAGCTTTAGATGTTTCCACTAGTTAAAACGACAATACACGTCCTCATTCATACCATCGACCTGTTCTTTTTGCTTGGAGAAGTTGAAAGTACTCACCGCTAAGGGCTGAAAGGGTCATATATCAATCTAACTGGCTCAGTGGAGCTGGAAAGGGCTCGTTGACTTCGGCACAATGGCTGAAGTCCTTTACATGGGCAGGAACAGATGATCAGGTGATTGTGTCATTTCTACTAGAACTTTCTGGATCAACTTTGCCCCAGTACCTTGCAAATAGACGGGCCGGTGGGATCATTTATCTTCAAATTAAGGAAAAGTAACTGCGTATACATTATGAAACCTTATTGTCAAGCACAGTTGTTAAGGCCAATTATCAGACATCCGGGAAAGTAAACATCCCTTCCTTGGTTACAATCGCAAATACAGAAGGTGCTTTTAGAGCGATCTTGAAAAGAAAAGATGTTTGGGGAAAAAAGCATGGAATGAAACTTTAAAAAGGGGACAAAACAACACAAAAGAAAAATGAAGTGAGGAGTCTGTTAAACTGAATTTCTCCAGTCTTAACACTCAGGGTTTCCTCTTGTTTGTCTTTTTAAGTCTTATCTTTCTCTACCATTGTCTAGTTTGGACCAAGGCAGAACACAAGTCGGGTCTGGCACACTATCTAACAAAACTGACACTACAAAGACACACTTCATATCTTCATTTCTAAGGGATGCCTTAGTCACACCCCCAAAAAAATGGACTCAATGAGAGTGTCAAAACACTCAAAATTATATCTGCCACTCCAGTAAACAATCGAAAAGCACAGTGAAGGGTGTTCTGCGAATGCACGCATTTACAGTCGCTGAAGCACCACGATTGGTTGATTTTGCCGCATTCTGCGCTATGTAGCTACAGGCAAGTGGGATTGAGCTGCCATTCAAATAGGTTTCAGTCTCTCAACTGCAGAGAAAGAAGCAAGTTTTTGTTAAAACACCCATTGAAAAGCACCCTCATTTTGCTACCTCTCTTTCACGTCTGTCTCTATAGCGCTATTCATATATGCATTTATATACCAGTAAACTATATTAAGGTTACTCTAAAAACCACAACAGAACGGCTTCTAAAACCAAACAAATAAAAAAAAAAACAAAAAAAAAATACAAGAGCATATTTACACTGAGAGAAATGGGTAAGGGCCTTATTAACAAGAGCAATATCACAAAATATTCAAGAAGGCATCTCTAATGGTGTTTTCTTTGTTTGTTTTCTTTCCATCTTCAGCACCAATGTGTTCTCGTGCTTGCCGGCCAAAGGATTTTCATTCCCTTTTGCTTTGCGCTGGCAGTCTGTCTCATTTAGCGGTGTTTTTGTGAAAGTGTGGACTTGAGTGCATGACTGGGAAAGTCTGTCCGATCTTCTGCAGGTGGGCATGGCTTTACTTGAAGTTGGCGTAGTCAGAGAAGGCATCAATGTATTCCTGGACCACTTTGTAGCAGAACTCATACTGCTCCTGTGGGGAAAAGCAAGATGTAGTGAGTTGAGACGGACTTGAGATATTTAGATTAAAGTACTTGAAGCAAAACAAGACATGATGATGATTATTTCCCAAATAATTGAGATTTAAATGTAAAAATTGTCTAAAAGTGAAAATAACATATCCCCCCTCCCATTTTTCCTGTTCTAATGATGTTTTACTAGGTCTGCACGATTAATCAAAATAAAAGCAGAATCACTATATGGCTTAACACGATTATCAAATCGCAAAGGCTACAATTGAATTGAATAAATATATGCACTGTGTGTTTTAGAGTGAAGCGCGGCACTGTCTTCATTTATACGTAAGCAGCTCGTAATCCAGTGTTTTCAGATTCGTAGAACGGCTTGCAGTAAATGACACTCCACACAAACTCATCTCTGCATCACCTCTGAATTTGAGTTGAACATACTGTGCATTTCAGAACGCAACATGTCAATCATCTTCCCATAATTTTAATGACCAAAAAGAGAAGCTTTAAGGGTTTCATGTGGTTTCTGACAAAATAAATGTTGGTAAATGGAGACGGCCATAAATATTAGTATTGTAATTTTACAATTGTAATATAAAATTTAATTATTAGTATCATCATCATAAATATTTGATTGTTTTTATTTTACAGTGAACATTTCAACTGTAATAGTAAATTACAATAGTAATATTTCTTATTTTGTTTAAAGGGGTCATATGATGCGATTTCACGTTTTCCTTTCTCTTTGGAGTGTTACAAGCTGTTCGTGAATAGATAAGATCCCTAAAGTTGCAAAGACTAAAGTCTCAAACCCAAAGAGATATTATTTATAAAAAAATATATTTTTTAAAAAAGATTCTTAAAAATCTTTATCGTCCACGCCCTCTTAAAACGCCTCGTTTAAACATGCCCCCATATGTCTACGTCGCTATGTAGGAAGACTTGCATAACGCCACCCAAATGTTCACGCAAAGAAAGAAGGTGTAACTTTATTGTTGCTGCCACTGCCGCCGCCATGTTGTGAAGATGCTGTGTGTTTCGTTGCGAAAGCGAAACTACTTTGTTTGGTCTTCCAAAAGAGGACACGACTAGAAATCAGTGGTTAAGTTGTATTTACAACACTGTTCCAGAACAGTT